TGTGTGTGTGTGTGTGTGTGTGTGTGTGTGCGTGTTAAGTGAAAAGAGAGGGAGTGTATGTTTATATGTGGGTGTTTGTATGTGTCCACCTGTGTGTGTAAGTGTGTGTGAGTGTGTATGCACGCGTGTGTGTGTTCGTGGGTGAGTTCGTGCGTGCGTTCGTGCGTTCGTGCGAGCGTGCGTGCGTGTGCGTATAAGCTAAAGGGTGGGGAGGGAGAGGTGGGGATACACACCCTGTATGCGCTGAGAGGGACGACAAGCGAAAGACAGGAAATAGAATTACATCCCGTGAAAGGATTCACCAAATTTGCAATTCGCTGGGCAAAAAAACCTCTGAAGACTTTCTTTCCTCTGAAACAATAATCTAGATAGAACCTTTATAACTCGATTCAACAGAATCCTAACCGACTCCATTTCAAGACAAAGAACATGGATGTTTTCCCTGTCATTGTTGAGCTGTTTATCTTTTGTGAAGGTTACTAGGGTCTACATGTCAAGTCCACTGGCACCAGACAATGAGCAAGATCCCAGATTCTCTCTCTCTCTCTCTCTCTCTCTCTCTCTCTCTCTCTCTCTCTCTCTCTCTTCCTGTTTGGGCTGTGAAACACAATAACATAATGTACAACACAGGTCACTTAAAAAGTATCTAGAGCAGGAATAAAACCACAAACATCAACATTAGGCTGACCAAAAATGTCTAAAATATGTGTAGGAAGCTATTTACAAGATGTTTACATATTAAACATTAATGGCATTAATTTCAATTAATGACAAAATTATCATGTCGCGGTACAGTTATGATAGGGCTAAACTGTATGCCGTTTTATGTTTCTGGTACAAAAGTTTTCCTTACCAAAAGCAATACCACAGTGTTATGTTTACAAACATTATAGTGTTTTCCCTCAATCGGTCATACTGAGCAAAAAGCGTAAAAGTACGTGCATGTATGAGTTAAAATTGTATGTTAGTTACCAGTGCATACTTGTACGTTCGTTAATCTCTATCTCTCTCTCTCTCTCTCTCTCTCTCT